TCCGCACAAAGCAGCATCGCCTCAACCCAACCATACTATTTCGACATATACATAACAGATAACAAGTATCCAGTAAACAGATAATCATATAACCAGTCAACAGACTAGCAGGAAGATCTATAGATCACTATCACATAACAACATCCTATATACTAGGAATTAGTTCTAACAGATCAATACAACATAGCAACATCCTCTAAACCATGATACATAACCCAGTGGGCCGGCATTGGTGCCTTCGACTCATGAGTACAGTGACGAAAACTCACCTCTCAGTCTGAAAATGTACATAAGCAGGACACTGCTCTGATTATCAGCTATATCGGTCACCTATACATCGAAAAATGACCAGCCTCAACTAAAATTCAAAATAACCAAAATACCCCTGGGTCAAACTTGGTCAAAGTCAAAAGTCATCCGAGTTGACTTAGCTAAGTACGCCCAACGTACTCAGCTTGTACACTTAGCGTACTCAAGATCCAGGATCGAGGTTCTCATCGCGTACGTGCGGCGTACGCCAATGTACGCCCAGCGTACGCTGGCTAAATGCATTCTTCCGTTTAAGGGCTTATTCCATTAAGTCCCTTTGTCCAAAAGCAGATCTAGTCCCAAAATAACATCTTAATTCATAAAGTTTCCAACTTTATGACTTTGCATGGCTAGGAAGTGCCCAATACTAGAAACCCTAACTTCTTAACTCATTAAGACATCATAACCCCTACATAGAAGGAAACTAATGACCAAGATTGCATTTTTATGACCTTAGACACTCCAAAACGTCTAAAGGGACAATCCATTTGTTCTAAATCATGCCATACTCAAGAACATCATTGTTTAGGGACAAAAGCACATAATAACATCATACAAGCTAGATCTAACCAAATAAGCATCAAGCTATAAACTTTATACCTTCTAGAGATGGAGGGGGTGCAAAACTTCCAGATCCAAGGTTTCTCCAAGCTTCTAAGATATTCTTCTTTCCTTTTCCTTCCTCTAAGAACACCAAAACACACACTAATGGCTCAAGGATGCTCAAAATTGGATTAGGGTTAATTAGGGTCGAATATGGAGGTGGATGCTGAAGAAAGAAGAGGTATCAATGAGTTAAGGATGTTTAAAGGATCCAAACCCTAAAAATTAGTGTTTGGCCCTCACCCACATATGCCCAACGTACGTCATTAGCCCACATGATTTTATGATAAAGTCACATGGGACCCTTTTTGCAAACAAATCTCATATCAAGGGTCAAAAGTATAATAACTTGGAAACCGAGATGTTACTATTATTACATCATAATATGTGCTTGATTTACTTATCTTTATCTTAGATAGGTAATTCTTAGGTCTATTCATTCATAGTCCAAACATATCTTACAATCAATTTGGTGTTCGTAATTTGCATGATCATTGTAGCTAAAGTTCATAAATCGATATATCCTAATTAATAGTGTCAAGACAATTAGAAAATTATAATTTGGGAAGCAACGGATCCACTACAACAAAAATGACTTACATCCACACTTTTTAAGGGCTAAAAATGTGACCATATCCTACGGTCACACTTATTTTTTTAGTCAAAAGTGTGATCGTACGCCGTAACACCATAGGTGTCTTACGGCCTCATTGAAATTCATCATTTAAGTGTGGATATAATCTACCTTTTAGTCACATATAACGTGAGACGAGTTGGTGTTAACCATGGTTACTGTATATTGGTTGTGACTATTGGTTACCCTTTAGTCACATTTATTTATGGTAAATCGTGACGTATTAGTTAATTGTGAAAACCATCATTTGTATATTAGTTATAGCAACGCATTGTTTCTAAAAGATATGGCTATTTGTTACCTTTAGTTACATTCTTTTACATAAAATCATGACGTATGATATCATTTAGTCATATAAAAAAAATATGACCATTAGTTGCTTTTGGCGACACATAATTGTTAAAACCATCGCATTTTATCTAATCGGTGTAGCTATTTGTTACCCTTTAGACATATTTAATTTTGTGATCATTATTCTAATTAACATTCGGTAACATTTATGAATGGACGATGATAATATTAAAATGTTGCACATATATATTACAGGAGTAAGCAAGAATAGAAGAAAATAACACTAATCATATAGTCAAGTTAAATAGTATACAAAAATGTTGTATTTAAAGTATATCTACAATGTATACAAAAGAAAATGAAATATAAGTCGTAAACTAAAAAAATCTTGTTATTGTTTTATCTTGTTGACATTGTTCCTTATTTTCTTTATATCTTGAAATTTCACGAAAATAAATCATAAGCATTTAGTTGGTCTTCCTTTAAAGGGGAATAAAAAACTTCATCAGGTGGAATTTTAGACCCAATCATTGCTACAGAAGTTGCAGAATCATCCATTTGTCCATAGTTAAGACCAACTACAAAAAGAAAATATTAATAGGTCAAATCAATTCTATTAAGAAGTAAGAACAACTGTAAACTCTATAAGGTATGATAGAAAAATACATCTAATTGTTGCACGCATACTTTAGGATACTTTTTCAGCTTCTTGTAATGTAGTTTCAAGTAAAACTAAAAAGTATTCATTGAGGAACACCTCCTACACTTAAAATTGTGATCAAGTTGTTTGATATATTATCTTTCATTGGTCTTCGACTGAAAAAAAAAATAATAATAATAAAAATACAAAGATCATATCTTGCAATATGACAAAAGCAAATGAAAATTACCTTATGGAAACTATCTCTAAAGAACCAAATGAGTTTGAATCTGAAAGCCTAGAATCTTTCTCAACTTTTATCATTGAAGGTATGTCTTGAATTGTTCGAAGTTTAAGCTTGAAGCAATATTCAAGAAAAGGAATTAAATTATTCTAGTGATACAAAAGGTAACGGTAAGTGATTTTATTATGCGTACTTTATTTTTACCTTTTTGCTTACAAGAAGTGTTCCTTTGATAGCATATCTTTCTTTAAACAAGTGGCATTGAACAAGCAAATGCTAGTAGTACAAAAGATAGAGAATCAAGATTATAACATTATGGAAGATTCTATCGAAAAATTAAGAAATAACTTTGTTTACCGATTCTCTAATGCAAGCTTCCGAGCCTTTTCGATCCCAAAGATTCTTCCTCAAGCTTGAAAAGATCAAAAAACTACTAATAAATTGTAACAACAAAAATAAGGTTAGATAAAAGTTTGTATTTTGTGCAGTTTTGTGGTTTAATCCAATAAACCATAAAAGATTCAAACATTTTCCAAAATAACCATTTCAACCTTTACATCAGGTTTCAACAGTAGTTCTATAATCAAATTTTCACATAATATAATGTTTTTTTTTGTATGATTTCCCTAAATCAAAGAAGCGAGTTAAAGACCCAAAAGAATAACAATCGGACAAAAATATTAGTGGTGGAAGATTGAAGGAATGGAGTGTAACTCTTTATATATGAGTAATGGAAGTAATGTAAATATGAAAATATTCACCTCAAAATTCTATCATGTTTTCCCTTGGTTTCAATGAGATATTTTCAACACAACTAGTAAAAAACTTAGCTATTAATCATTATGGTTCCCTTGTGTTCGGCACCCTACCTTCTTACTATACTACGGTTCGATTAGGTACACTGCCTATCACATTTAGCTAGCTTAGATTGCTTGGTTTATAAATTAAAAACTAGTGTATAAATTGTATATCAAGTTTATGTCGCCGTTGTCGGGAATCGAACCCAGGTCACCCGTATGACAGGCGGGAATACTTACCACTATACTACAACAACGTGGATGAGTTGTTCCCACGACGTGGACTATTAATAATTCCCATGTCGTGGATGAGTTGTTCCCACGCTTTGGTATATTAAGAATTCCTGTAATGCACAATTTTTCAAAACACGACAGTGTGGAGCTGATTTTTACGCATTGAATGACTTCCAAACCCTAATCTCACAAGCAATTCTTTGCTTTTTTCTTCAAATTTCTTCTACTTTAGTGCAATTCATCCAAAAAGGTATGTGATTTTCTACTTTAAACTATTTATTATTGCATATAATCTATTGTGGGTACTTTGAGTTGAGTATATATGCCAATTTCTAGGACTAGAAATATCTAGGGCTTCAGTGTTCGGTCGACATTTTCCCGATTTCGATGATTTTTGTGGAATAATTTATGTTTAATAGTCTTTCTATATGGTCTGGATAAAACCACAGTGATTGGAATTCAATTACCACAACCAATTATGCTCGATTTGGTCCGAACTGTTCTTATTGTTCTTATGCCACAGCATGGCCATGACGTAGGCACTAGGCAGGGAGACAAAAAATCTTTCTTATTTTTTTTTTGATTCAAGGGTTGGTTGTGGTTGTCTTTTGCTATCTTATTTTTCATAAATAGGACCCCGTAAACAACATACTCCACGAAGGACTCACCAAGGAAATGTGGATTTTATGTGGTATGACTTTCCTAGAGTCGTGATGCCTAGAGTGTTATTGGAATAGAAAAACAAGTTGGGATGGTTACATAGAAAAAAACATTGATATTCCACCCATTTTAGATTGGAATTAGATTCATGATGAGGGGCTCTTGGAACAAGTTGAGCCATATCTCATGAAGTTGTTTGTGCAAGAAGGGGTACAAAATACTTGCACGGGGTGGACACGGTTATTTAGGCTTCAAGAGTCGGTGTATGTGGAGTTATGTGCGGAGTTTTTCGCTACCGTCCATTTTAGGAAACCTAACGACGTCAATGATCCCGAGAATTATACTTTTTGTCTTGGGGGACGAAAGTAGGAAGTGAGTTTTACTGAACTTGCATGGCAGTTAGATCTATACAACCAATCAAAGGCAATTTCTCCTTAGTTTTCCATCTTTTTGGATCATTGCTACAAAAGATTTCCAGCGGAAGTTACTGATACTGGGTGTTGGACTACGATTGTCAATGGGTCCTACACTGCAGGAACTGCAAGCGAAGGAAAAATTAGAAAAGTTATGCACCGATTCATTCACAAGATGATCATATTTTCTATCAACCAAAAGAAGGAAGGGAATCGGATTCCTCAACTTGATGTATTATTTATGTGGTGCATCCTTACACCAAATGTATTTTGTCACCTCCCTTACTGTGTTGCATACTTTTTGACAAAGCGGGCAGGAAAGAGCAGGGTTGGGGCCCCTATTTATGGTGGAATGATGATCACCAAATTGGCTAGATATTTTGGGTTACTTGATGATCCCGATGATATGTTTCTGACAAGAATGGATGGCCGCTCATTGCTGCCAAGTTTATTCAAGATTGTGTGTATAGTGAAGGACATGGAAAACGACACCTATTCGGTGCCGGTGGATGATACGGTTGAGGTTCCAGTAGGTCGTCGGAATGTGAGGCCAATGATGGAGGGTCAGGAGCCCAGAGATGAACCCATGAGAGATGAGATACATATGGATCCATATCACATTATGTCTAGACAATATGATGATGATGTGGGCAGGGGATTGAATTTTACGGGGTATAGTTTGGAGGCAATTATGCATCATCTCGTTATTCTACCTTAGGCTGGAGCTCCGGCTCATTATAGTTACATTCCTACTTGGGAGGAACGATGGGCTGAGCATAGAGGTGGTGCGGGCGCTAGTGGAGCATGCGATGGAGATGACGAGGATGAAGTGTGATTATCCTTGTTTTATGTTTATCTTGTTTGGTGTGTTTTAGACTATTTATTATTGTGTTTGACTGTTAGGACGTAAGTAACTTATGATTCTCGTAATTTTTAATTTGTGTGATTGTTTTTCCTTTTTATTACTAGTTTATTTGTGGTTTTAGATTTTGCAAAAGTTATGGTTGATGAGAGAATGCGATTTTGTTTCCCAAGAAACGTGGCGAGAGCTTAAGTGATGGGTACGACTTGCAAATCGAGAAATGTTTCTTTAGCGAATTTTCGATTTCTATCGCCATAATACCTAAAGAAATTGATCCAAAATAAGAATAGAAGAATATGTTATCCCAACATTGCCATTCCTCACCTAAAATCGCAGTGCATAGAATGCAGAAATTTTCTAAATTTCCAGCAGCCACGGCGTGGCGTCACGAGATCATGGTGTGGCCATGAAGATTTTTGCAATCCAATTTTTGACATTATTTGAAGACCACAGCCTGGCTACGCTCTTCCACGGTGTTGGGAGTCTCAAATGCACTTTTTGATTATTTGTTTTACCACTATTTGGATTCTGTTTTCTTGGTGCATTTAAAGATTATTCCTGTTGCGGTCCAGGAGTACTGTTTTCCATCCATTATACGAGAAATCAACCACACAATTCGACCTCGCCACTACTATCCAAGTGGAGTCTGATCCTTTTTCTCCCTCTCTACTTCTATGTTCTTTCATTATGTTAATCATGCAATAGGTACATTGCATGAATTAAGTGTGGGGTAGGGGTCGAATATAGGAATGCAAGCATATTGATTTGGAAAAAGAAAATCAAAAAATGACTAGGATTAAAAAAAACTTAAAGACTTGAAATAATAGTCTAATTTTTAACTCTAGTTACAAAAAAATTGTTATATTGTTGTGTCGGGACCTAGCTTGCTAGTGTTGCAAGGGACGATTTGATGCGAGTTTTCATGCTTAATTGAGTCAATATATGTTCTAGTGTATCTGTGGCTTCCCTATATTACTGAAATCATGGGACAAAAACATAACCTTGTTTGGTTTGGGGGACATAATATGTTTAGCGTCGTATACTAGAAATGTATCTAGGAAAGCTTATGTAGTCATTTCACCTTAGACTAATGCCTTTAACCAATAAGGGTTGAAGTTAAGCTCCCTTGCTTAAGCATATATTTTCCTTTAGGTTTTTAGTTTTAAGTAAAAAAAAGTGAGTTATGATAAAAAAAATAAAGAGAGAGAAATGTTGAGTGAATAAAAGCTTACAAAGTATGAAGATTGAAGATACTAAAGAATGAAGTGAATTGCGAAAATTCAAATGAGTATTTTATTTTATTGTAACTTTTCTTTTCTAGGTTATTTTTTTTATATGTATGCTTGGAGGTTTAATAAAACTTTACCTTGAGGTTAAGGAAGATTTATGAGGATATATTTGGAGGGATACATAAAATGAATGTTGTTCAGAATAACTAGGAAGTGTTTATGAGGATTGTGAGTATTTAGGATTTAGAAAGTACTTAGGAATATTATACACAAATATATGTGCATTGCGATCTCGGTTTAATGGATGAGCTCAAAAGAGATTGTCTTGTGCGATGTTGGTAGCTAGGGTTTAGATGTTATAATATGATAATAAAAAAGAGTTTTGCGTGGGGGTAAGCAAAAGTCAAGTGTGGGGTATTTTGAAATGTGCATATGTATTCATATATTTTGTGCTTTGCCTTAATATTTTTAGCTATAATTGTACTTATTTTAGGACAAAAGGTGCTTGATATATTTAAAATCTATTTTGTAGCAGCGAAGACTTTCTCGGGATTAAACGGAAGCAAAATACGGAGCTGGAAGCAGGAAAAAAAGGGTCAAGTCAATCAAAGTCAAAGAACTCAAAAATTCTGAAGCACACACCGTGGTGAAACAAATATTCGCGATCAGATAAACCGACTTGGGGAATAGACATGATTTAAGATCGCCACACCGTGGAACCTATCTGCCATGGCGTGGGAGCCAATTTTTGGAAACTATAAATATTTCGGTTCTGCCTTCAACCCTACCTTATGCTTCAAGTCATTCTCGACTTTTGGAGACCAGAGACGTGCTGGAAGACTGAGAGAGATCTTATTTCGCTTGAAGTTTAGTTTTGAAGAGATTTTAAGGCAACATAACTAATAAACCTTTGTTTACTTTGTTTTTTCATTATGTTTTTCAAGGTGAACTTCATTTTTGAGTGTTTGTTTCCGATAGTTATGGGCTAAAAAACCCTACCTTCTGTTTAGATTAGAGGATCATTATGACTATGTGTTGATTGATTGGATCTTGGATTGTTGTTGGTTGCTTATTTGTTATAATAGCTTCTTAAAGACCCTTTTGTGTTACTAACATATACTTTTTCTGTTTATTTGTGAGTTTTACTGAAATTAGATGATCATTCTATTTTGGTAGGCTTGTATCTTATGAATTTGTGATCATCAAAGTTATAAGACTAGTGTTTTGATCATAAACCTAGGGTTAATTAGAAAAGTGGGTAAATTAATGTGGAAGCAAATATATGATGATCATTCATGTACTGAATTGATGTTTTTATCCCTTAATATCAATCATTAGTTCAAGTCTAGCATAATTCAAACTTAATACTAGTATACTTGTTTGTTTTTCCACCTGATCAATGAATGAATGAACTAGTTTACTAAAGGGTTAGTCTTTTAACCATAAATTCTAATCATCTTAGGAATCGGTAAGTAACAACAACTTAATCCATTGCAATTTCTAAGAAATCAACCATAGGAGTAGTGTGAATCGTATCTAAACATAAGTCTCTTTAGTATCTTGCTTTAAAACATAATTTAGATTGTTTTTTGTTAGTTAACTTGATTTTGGTGATAATTGCTTTTAAGTAATCTGGATTTCTAAAACCAAAGAAAAACCCCTTATTATTTGATTTTCAATTAGTTAAATTTTAGTCTAAAATTAAGCTATTAATCATTCTTGTTCCCCTTGTGTTCAACACCCTACTTTCTTACTATACTATTGTTCGATTAGCTACACTACCTATTGCATTTAGCTAGTTTATATTGTTTGGTTTATAAATTAAAAACTAGTATATAAATTGCGTATCAATAGACTAGATAATGCCTTAATAGTCGAGGTTGCTAGTGGCAAGTTTGTACTTGTTAGCGAATGCATGAAGAAAATCGTCATTGACTTGAATGGGAATAAGTTCCACGAGGAATTATTTCCCATTGAGTTAAAGGGTTTCGACATGGTATTAGGAATGGATTGGCTTAATGCGAACGATGAAAATATATCATGTAGAAAGAAGATGGTAAGAGTAAACCCTCTTAGAGGAAATCATTTATGGTGTACGGGGACAAACGCCGAGTGAATTCTGGAATCATCTTTGTGATAAAATCCAGAATGGGTTTGTCCAAAGGATGTACATCATATCTAGAATTTGTGATTGATGTGAAGAAGAAGAAAAAAAGATGCAGAGAATACATGTGGTGTATGACTTTCCGGAAGTATTCGCAAAGATCTTCCTGGATTGCCCCCTGATAGACAAGTAGAGTTCCAAATAGACTTATTTCTCGGAATAACACCAATAGAAAAAACACCATACTGATTAGCACCAACGGAGATGAAGGAGCTTATGTTGCAACTTCAGGAGTTTTTTGAAAAAAATTTCATAAGACCTAGTTCTTCACCCTGGGGGCTCCGGTGTTATTCATAAAGAAGAAGGATGGAAGGATGATAATGTGAATAGACTATAGAGAGTTCAACAAGGCAATGGTGAAGAATAAATACCCATTTCCTAGGATTGACGACATGTTCGATTAATTGCAAGGCACAAGCTATTTCTCGACGATTAATCTCAAGTCAGGGTATCATCAACTAAAGGTGTGAGAATAAAACATTGAGAAGACAATATTTGGAACGAGGTATGGACACCATGAGTTTTTGGTTATGTCTTTCGGAATGACTAATGCTCCAACAACATTTATGGATCTGATGAATATGGTTTGTAAAACTTTCCTCGATAAATCTGTAATACTTTTCATCGATGATATTATGATTTACTCAAAGATTTAGCAAGAGCATGGCAAACGCCTGCGAGGAGTACTGGAAGTTATGAAAAAAAAAGAAGTTAAATGTAAAGTTCTCCAAATGTGATTTTTGGATCCGATAGGTAAAATTATTGGGTGATGTGGTTAACCAAGAAGGTATAATGGTTTATCCAACCAAGATTGAAGCAGTAATGAAGTGGGAACAACCAAAAAGTCCCACTGAGATGCGTAGTTTTCTAGGATTTGTTGGATATAACCGAAGATTTACCCAAGGATTTTCTTCAATAGTTGCTCCATTGATAGCCTTGACCCACAAAGGAGCTACCTACATGTCGAGTGAGAAGCATGAAGAAGCTTTTGAGAAATTGAAGAAGCGATTGTGTGAAGCACCAACCCTTGCTTTACCTGATGGAGTTGGGTTAAGTTGCGTTCTAACCTAGAGAGATAAAGTGATAGCATATGCATCCAGACAACTGAATGTTCATGAAAAAAACTACCTCACTCATGATCTGTAGTTGGAAACTGTGATTTTTGCACTAAAGATATAGAGGAATTTTCTTTATGGCACAAAGTGTAAACTTTTCATCGATCATAACAGTCTTCAATACCTATTTGATCAAAAGGAGTTGAATATGAGAAAAACACGTTGGCTGGAATTATTCAAGGATTATGACTGCGAGATACTTACCACCCCGGTAAAGCAAATGTCGTAGCAGACGCTTTAAGTAGAAAAATAAAATTGGAGAGGAAAAGGCCAAGGGCATTAAGAATTGAAATTGTCTTGACGATCGTGGAAAGTATCAAGTAAGCTCAAAATGATGCTTTGGAAGGA